CAGCGCATCTCTCGCGCTCCCGTAACGTCGTGGCCACGTTTTTAAGGAACCCGGGCCTGTATGGGAAGAAGAAAAGGCCCGGTAGGCCCTCCAAACTCACCTCCACGGCTCGACGTGCTCTCTTGCGCGAAGCGCACAAAGGGCATTTGTGTTCTTCAGAGTTGGTTAAGACCCTTCGTCTTCCTGTAACTCCATCTACTGTGCGAGGTATCCTACGCGCCACGCCAACGATTCAGTACAGCAAAATGGTCCCCGCTCCGATGATGCTCCCGGGACACAAAATTGCACGGGAGCAGTGGTGTTGCGAACACGTCACTTGGACCGTGTCGGATTGGATGAATGTGGTGTGGTCGGACGAGAAGAAATTCAACTTGGACGGGCGGGATGGGTTCGGGTACTATTGGCACGATTTACGGACCGACAAGCGGATGTTCTCAAAACGGCCGCAAGGTGGGGATTCTGTAATGGTTTGGGGCGCTTTTTCTGGTACTAAGAAGTGCGAGCTTTCCGTTTTAAATGGAAAGCAGGATGTTATTAAGTATATAGATACATTAGAGTCCTATCTTTTGCCGTTTGTGGATCAAGAAATGGGTCCAAGTTGGGTGTTTATGCAAGATGGTGCATCTATACACCGCGCTAGACGTACGTTTCAGTGGTTTGACGAGGAGGAAATTCCTCTTTTAGAGTGGCCTGCCAAGTCACCTGACCTGAATCCTATCGACAATTTATGGGGCACCCTAGCGCGAACGGTTTATGCACACCAACGTCAATTTAAGGACGTGGATGAGCTTTTAGAAGTTATAATGGAAGCGTGGGACGAAGTTTCAGAAGAATGCCTGGAAAAGCTTGTCCGTTCCATGCAAAAGCGGTGCTTTGAGTGTGTAATGGCAAAGGGAGGTCCGACGAAGTATTAGGAGCGATGAATTAGTGAAAGACATGCGCTGTACCTTATACTTTCGAACACCCATAAATAAGGTTTCTATAAATATCATGTGAATGAGCTCTCGATCTTTAAATCCGACCCCAGATTCGGTCTCCTCGTTGCTTTTACAGTCCTAGACGGACCTCAAATTTGGCGTTTACAATACTGTATGCCAGCAATGTGAGAATTGATGCTGTCCCTATACTTTTTTTCGGCACTGTATGTATGCTGCAAACCTGTACACGTTGCACAAATTGTCGCAACAGTACAGTGCTGAAAACACGAGAAGAAACATTACAGTCATATCCATATTACAGTTCGTACGGTGATGCTGAGGGAGACAAACTGTCGCGCAGAGTGCCATGATACTCTAGGAGGTGCGGCGTAGGCGGGCGTTGTGCTGAAGCAGAGCTGGCAAAGACAGGGTTCGCGTCAGGTGGGTGGCGTGAGCGACCGCCTCCGCGCGGCCAGACGGGATCGGGGCCGGTGGGGAGGACGGGGTGGCGGCGGGCGTCGAGAGGCTGTAGTAGGCTGTGAGGCGCGTGTTGCGCGTGTTGCGCGGCTTGCGCGGGACTGCGTCCGTCATAGCGGGGTGGTTGAAGGGGCAGAGGGAGGGAGGAGGCGAGGGAGGAAGCGAAGAGGAAGAGGGGGAAGCGAGAGGGATCTGTTCTGGTCGAGGTGGGTTTTCCTTACAGCGGTGCTTCAGTAAATTACGAGTCGTTCTTCTTCCCCGCAGCGTCTCTCCCCACCAGACACCGTCCTCCTCTCCGCGCTCATTGCCCAACTCCCCCCCTCCTCCCGCGACTCCTCATCCGCAATGCCGCCATGTCCACCCCCCTCCGCCTCGCGCACATACACCTCTTCCTCCTCCTCCTCCTCCAACAAGCGCTCTGCTCCCCTCCCCCGAATTACCATACAACCTCCGCCCTCCGCTCCGCTCTACAATCCGCGGCGGGTTCCTTCCCGCACGGCCGCGCGGAGTGGGCGTCCCTGACGCCCACCTCCCCGCCTTTGCTGGTGATAACGCTGTCCCACAACCGGCGCCACCTGCTGCCCTCGGCGCTCGTCTCCCGCCCGGCGCTCGTCGCCGTATTCGGGGAGCACGGGCGCGAGCGCATAACATCCGAGCCCGCTCTGCACATCACCCGCGCGGCCGCGGTGACGGGCGTCGCGCTGGCGGCCGCGCGGCGGTGTGTATCGTTGACGGGCGGCGTCGGTGCGGTTGTGATTGGAGTCGCGCGGAGAAACAGCCGTCAGCCGCGCGCGTGTTCGCCCCCCGGAAGGGCGCGCACTATCGCGCCCGCCGCGGCGCACCCCCGCAGCGCACACGCGACACTGCACCCCCGCCGCGCGCGCCTTAGCCCCGGCAAATCCGCACCCCCGGCGAATCCACCCCTTGTCCCGCTGACTCCCCCTCCTCGCCGCCCCCGCTACGCATCCCCGATAGCCCCCACCCCGCCATCCTCCTCCGCTCACCCTCCCCGCCCCACCTGTGGAGCGTCGCGTACCCCGTCGGCTAGAAGGCTGTGCTCGCCCTCTTCTCAAAGGTCCTCGCCGGCCTCCCCGTCGGAGGCTTTCTCGGCGTCTTCTCCGCTAGCGGCTCCGTCGCCAGGGTCGTGCTCGCCATGCTCGCCGGCGTCGTGTGGAGCGGGTGGGGCAGAGAGGCCGTGTTCGGTTTGATCGTCGCGTACATGGTCGCCGCGGCCGTCACGGTCACTGCAACATACTGCAGATTGGTTCCCCCTGAGGGAGTGTTTTGAGAGGGGGGGGGGGCGAGGACGGGCTGTGGGGGTGTACCGTATGCAGACATCACATGTCTTCCGTCCGCACTGATGCCAACACTGTGCCCCCTGTCCGTGTGTCCAGTCAACGAGCCTCCTCAATGTGCTCCGCCTGGTACGAATGCGGCAACCGCAGTGTAGTGTGCGTACGTCTCGTTGTCAGAAGATGGACTAGCGTTTCATAAAGCCGGATGATGCATGCAAAACAACAACTCAGTTCTTGTTTTGCATGCATCACTCAGCTATGAAGACTTTTTTGGCTCCTCTACTGTCGTCCTGACGATGATGCTCCCGCCAAAACTTTCGCACCTTCTTTGTACTCATTATAAAGCGCATACAGCTGATGCCACGTGCAGAGCGCCTCGCCCCAGACTACACCGTCGTACACGTCAACTCAGTCCAAAAATATGCGGTCACTCTTTCCTTCTTCGGTCACGGCAGCAAGGAACGAACACTGTCCTCTAGCCAGTGAAGGGCGTCTTCCCGGGGAGCACCGTCTTCCGCTTCCCTAACCATGTCCAAGTATCTATATGCTTCCACGAGCGGCGCAAGGTTGAAGAATACTTTCCCAGTCAATCCAAGCAATCCGTCAATGTCAGCTATGTCCATTTCCTGTGCATAGGGCTCTAGGATATCCCGGTTGCACCAGTCAACATCAAACAAAGGATGACCTGCGAAAGAGCTATCAAAGTCGAAAAACCGGACCCCTGGACCCTCATCGGCGCCCTTCCTGGTTAGGTTCCCACTGGTCGTGTCATTGTGTATCAAACAGGTGGGCATTTCCAAATCAATAAGTTCCGTCAGATCATCTTGCAGCTTCACCTTGATGCTCGACAGTTTCTGCCTTTCTTCCGTTTCTAGCATGGGCAAAAGCTCCTTACACTGAAAAAGTGAGTTCAAGTTCTCACGCATCCACAGTGGTGAATAACATGGTAGTCCGGCCTCCAACAAATCAGGCAACACCTTTGCGCTTGCGCGGTGCAGACGCGCCAGATCTCTTACGCCCTGCTTACACGCTTTATCTTCCAATCCACAGAAGCTAGTCTCGTCACCGTGGTCCACAAGGATCATTTGACGACGTTCCACATCTGCGAACAACGGCTTGGCGACAAGATCAGGAACAACGTTAGACATTATTGACGTGACTCCAGCATCGTTCGACGTGGATGCACTGCATTTAAGGTAGTAATCACTCTCATTCGTCTTGATCCTTAGCACGGCTCCTCTGGATGACGCACGGATCTGAACCAATTCCCCCATCACATGCACATTGTGTCCATCCAATATTTCGCGCACCTTTCGAAGCGTTTCTTGATACCATCCAACAGAGGCCCAAGGCACCCGTCTAGGCGGCGTAACGTTGGCTACGGTCTGTTCCAGTTCTCGCCGAATGGCTTGCTCCGCTTCTTTCTCCGAGTGCGACACATGGACGACACCCGCTCTGTGATCATTGGTGATGGCCACCCAACTGCATCCAGAAGGCACTTCTTGAGATTTCTCATGGCACTGAGCAACGAGAATGGCGCGGACCTTAGTAGCTGAAAGATTAGGCGTTTCAACGGACAACTCCTCAGAGTAACAATGTCGAAGAACAAGAAACGGAAATTCGATACCAATGACTGTCTTGGCAGCGCTGCACACACCCTCTATCGAGCTGTCAGATACTTCTTTAGAAAGAAATCCCGGAAGCCTCCACTGATCAGGACCACTTGCCACAAGCAAAACGTATTGATGGCTCACATCAAACGTAAGAAGTTGCACCTCATGGACCAAATCCCTTTCACAGCGTGCTCTGGACGACTCGTAGATAGGCTGTTCGCTGCGAAGTGACATCTCTCCCGATTGTAGAAGAAATCTTGCGTGCTTGTTCTGTCGAGCTTGAGATATTTTCCGTTGAAGACTTTAAGGTCAAGCGTGTACCAGATCGCAATAGACTACACCGTCCGAAGTTGGACAAGTCAAGCATGGACCAAAGATGAGCTGCGTAAATTTTGAATTTCTTTTCAAAGCGAAAAAGTGGCCTCATTATTCAGCATGAGAGGCCACTTGTCACCTAAACACTAATTACAGAGCTTACGCAAACGAAAATTATAGCAATACAATTGCAGAAATTCTGCATCATCAATTACTGATATCCATTTCTGAAAATTTTGTGAACACTTTTATAAAACGTTTACCTCAAACGTAGACTTTCAAACGTGGGAGTATTAGACGAAAAGGGCATGCAGTACAACTACACACTGTAGAGCGGTACCATCGTCGCAACAACGGCGATCGAGGTAGCCGTCGATTGCGCGATGGGCCGGGGGAGGAAAAAGGACCATCGCGCAGCTTTGGTGAGACGTCAAAAAGTCCTTTCGCAAGTCGCGTTCTGCAATTCTGTTTGCAGACGATCTACATTTGCTGACTCCGCCTTCTGTCACAACACAGCAACTCTTGCTTTGGCAATGAAAATAGCACATGCTATCAAGGACTATCGCCATTACTGTACATGTTTACGGAGAGTTTATGTGCGTTTCAGGTTGTGGGCGGGCCCCCCACGCCACCACTCGCTTCCTCTCTCTGGCGGGTAGCCACAGCAGCCCGCGACGTAGCAATCTCCGCTAATCTAGACCTCCATCACGCAGTGCCTCCCGCTCCCGACCAGACGCTCAACTCCCAGACCGGTTCGCTCCTGCTTGCCACCTTTGCGCAAGGGTCACACCGCGCTTTCCGGTGCTGGTAATGCCATCGCGTTTGTGTAGCGCTGTTCCTCGCCGACGCCGCGCTTCCGCGTCGTCCCACCCGCCACTCGCCGCAGCCCCTCCCGCCGTCTCCCTCGCCGTCTCACCGTGCAGAAAATCAACGGCGCTGTCGCGCAGGGTACTATTTACACAATGACACCCGACTCTACCGCGAGCGCGACGCAACAGCTCGCCAGCGTCGCGTTCTACAAGGCGCTATCGTCCCACTTCCAGCGCGTCTCTGACATGGGCGCGCCGTTTTTCGCGTCGCCGATGCGACGAGGCAGCTCCTGGGCGCGCCGTTCGTGCGCAGTGAGCCTGTCGTGCTACTCCTGCGCAAAGTCTGCGAGACACGTCTTGAGCTGTTGAAACTGGTCTGTGCCTGCGCCACGCGGCTCTCCCGTGGGGAGTGTGCGCGAGGGGGTCGGCGAGCTCGATGCTCCACCCGGCCTCCCGTTGCGCTATGACCAGTTCGCGTCTGTTGGACACGCTGTGCGATGAGGTGGCCGGCGTGAGGAAGGGCGGGAGGAAGACGAGTGTGAGATGCGTAGGGGAGATGAGGGAGGCGAAACCGTTCGCAGTGTTTATGGCGGCTACGTTGAACGCTGGGTTGTCGTACGTGAGGACAGAATTGAGGGTGGAGGCGGCTAGGGCGACGGTAGAGACACTGGAGGCGGGGAAGGTGGGAGGGGAGGTTGTGTTTGGCGGAGGGGGGAATCCGATGGAGGCGCTCAAGGAACTGGTGGTGGTTGTCAGGTCGGACAAGGCGGGGGAGGGTAAGGGTGACCCAAGCGTTGGTAGCAACGAATTGGTAGCCTTGTATCATGCATGTATTATATCAAACTACCGCCAATTACACGACACCTGTCCCTATCATTTATCACGACATGCAGAAATCTTCTTCACAAAAACCCACATTTCAGCATTTTTCGTCACGACTTCATTGCGGAACTCTGTATACGCAAGCCGGATTCTGCACCCTTCCCCGGCAGGGTAATTTGGAAAAAAGGGTAATTTCGAAGAAGTTCGAAAACTTATTAGCAGACCGACAATCAGTACACTGAAGATAAACAATTCCCATGTGTACAAGAATCCGATAGTCATCGGACGATCGTATGAGGATACAGTTTGCGCGCATTTCAAATCGCAAACATGGCGGGAAGGGCAACGTACGTGTTGGGTGCCGATATAACACTGATGGTCGTATTTGGACACCCCGCTCCTCCCCGAGACTTCTCACAAGAGTATTTTCAGCCATATGCCACAATGGTGACTCTCTTGATGCGTAAGCAAACTCGAGAGGCACAGAGAAGGACTGCACGAGACGCCATGGTGCAGAAGAATCGCTTCAAGGCGGTGAGCTACTGCGAAAACAACACAAGCTGACAGAGGTTATGTCTGTGTGCTCTCTATTGGCTGGAACAGCCATGCGCCTTAAGAAAGCTGTTGCGTCAGAAGACGCAGCAGTGCTGGAAAACATGCTGGATCCAAGAGCACATAGGACAAGTACAGCCGGCTTTTAGTATAGACGAAGAGCAACTAATCGAAGATTGCATGAAATTCATTGCGTCACGAGGCTTCGCCATGGATTCCAGAACACTTGGCAGTGTCATGGCAGCAATTGCCACGGACGGCTGAAGAAGATTCGAAAATGGTCTGCCTTCTGCTGACGTCGTCGGGGCTTTCAGAGCACGCAATCAGGATATTACTTTTAGAAATGCTGAGAACAAGGAGCGAGCAAAGTTCAGGGGAGAGAACTACTATCACGTAGAAACGTATGCTACGGCACTGCAGAAAGTTGAAGCAGCCACCCCAGGCATTTTTGCAGATGGAGACAGACTGTCGAATATGGACGAGACCGCCGTAGATGCCGAATTTGGGCGGCGTGTGAAAGTATTCAACTCCTCCGACACACATCATAGTGGTTTTCGGTCCTCCTCCGCCAATATTGGGACTGGTAAACATTTGACAGCTGTCGTTGTGACTTCTGCGAGTGGAAAATGTTTACCTCCTTTCTTTGTTTTTGCTGGAAAAAACATTATGTCTTCCTGGTTTGACCCGCTTCCTCACAAAATATTTAAAGATTCCCAAGGGCATCCGCACTGGTTGGATACAAACGGATGGTTTCCGAGGGATGCTACTATTTTTGCATCCCAAAATGGGTCCATGGAGATGGGTCTGATGCCTTTTTAATGGAACATATCGATAGGAATGTGCGGAAATTTGTGCCTTCAGGCAAAAAGTTTGCTCTTTGTCTTGACAGGCATGCGCTGAGAAATGGGTACGAGTGGCTAGAACTGTGTGTGAGCAAGGGCTGCGAGGTAATGCAAAGTCCTGCCAACACTTCCCACTTCTTGCAATCTTGCGATGCAAATATTAACAAGTGCTTTAAATCTCATGTACGAAAAACGCGAGACCAGTTGTGAAAAAGGCTCTGATTGACACGAGATCAATGCGTGTCAAGCTGATGGTTGGCGTTGCAGGGTACCGGAAGCTGTCACGTGGTGTGTGTAGCATAAACACCCCAACGACAGAGGTGTATGCTCAGTCTGCGTAAGAGACCCTGTAGAACGCCAGAAGAACAGAAAGCACCAGTGAGCAACGCGTGAGGAAGGACACGGGCCGGTAGCGGTGGTAGAGCGGGTCGGGTCGCGAACGCGTTAGTGTATGCGGTAGAGCGGATCGACGCCTCGACGCCCCGGCGCGGTACTGGGTGACGTTCCAGTACCGACGGGCGGAGGCGGATCCTAGCTCGCGCGCGCACGTACGCGTCCGCTACCCGTGTCCTTCTACTCTAAAACGCGAACAGAGAGAGCGTCCCCGAGTTAGAGTAAGCGTTCCGGGTTAGCCGACGGTGGGGGTCTGGCCAAGCCGATGCTTGCCTTCCCTCCGCCGCCGTCGGTTCCCGTGGTTTAATATACAATTACGCGTCTGTCGCGTCTATCATACAGGGCTACAGTAGTCCGTACTGCACTGTAGCGCGTTACAGTGCTGAGCTACCGTACTCAGCTACTGTAGCGCTGTCCATACACGTGTGCGCGCGCGCGCCGATGATACACGTGTGTGCGGGCGTCCTGACAGTCCTGACAGTACACGTGTGTGCGCGCTTCCTGACAGTCCTGACAGTACACGTGTGTGCGCGCGCGCGATCTAATTCTAAATCTAATTCTGATCTGCGCTTATGCTACACGGCCGCCGCCCCAAGAGTGAACGTCCGCGTTCACCCTGGGCTTGAGGAGGATGCACCCTGACTGTCCCGTCCCCTTTCGCCCCCGTGTTTTACCGTCGCCGTCCAAGTCCGCTCTCGTGACCCCTTTTCCTTCCGAGCTCAGTGCCTTTCACTCCCCGCTAGTCGCACGCGGCGGTCCTCCGTGTCCCGCCCGCCCCGTTTTTGGGCGTTGCGTCTCCCCTGCCCTCGCGTTGTCGCGTTTCGTTTCTTACCGCCCCGGGTCGTTATTCTTACCATCTTCTTCGCGTCTCTTCCCGCGCTGCCCTTGCTGTACTTACGTCGCTGCGTCGTGCCGCGAAGTACCTCGTCATGAACGCCTACCCGCAGGAGGGTCCGTTGCCGACGTCGCTTGTCGACCCCGCCGTTGAACCGGCTGAGCAGGGGGCTCCTGTCGTCGAGATCCCCGCTGCGGACGGTCCCGGTTCGTCGAACGCGCTACCCGGCATGCGTATGGCGGGCGGCGCGACGACCCGCGCCGCCTCAGCTCCCGCTTCTCCGTTCCAAAAGCGTCGCTCATCTACAGTTTCCGTCGAGTTGGTGCCGCCGCCGCGGGCCCCCGTGAGGCCGGCCGTGGCGTTCCGCCCGGCGTCCGCTGGTGTCGATGCCCGCCGCGCCGCCCCTGCGACCGGGGCGAGTGAAGCCGCCGCCCTTCTTCCGTTGGCGGTGGTGCGTAACGCGGGGGGCGCGTCCCCACCTTACCAGCCTACTGTAGGCTCGCTTGGCACGGACGGCAGTTGCCGATGGCCGTCGGTGCAGGGGGGAGCGGCTCGCCCCGCGGTCGACGTGGGCGTGGAGGAGCGGCCCTCCGCTACGCAGTGGCTCGGGTCTCCGTCGTCAGAGGCTCCTGTTCTCGGTACTCGCGAACTACGGTACCCCTGGCGGCGCCGTGCTCGCTCAGGAGTTACCATCGAGGAGTTAGCTGCTCGTGCCTGGCTTCGTCCCGACCTTGCGCGCGTGCTCAAGGTATACAACGCTGGTGGGCTGGAGGAGGCGTCCTCGGTCCTACACCGTCTGATGACCGAGGGTGGCGGGTCGGGCTACCAGCTCCCGGATGAGCTGCCCGGCGACCGCACCTTCGCCTACAGTACCGCGGAAGTGGAACACGTGGATCGAATGGGATGGTTCCTATTCGGTCCAGGACAGGACGGCTCACGTCGCTTCGTCCTGCCCGAGGTGACGGGGCTGTACGTATTCCCCCGTCCCTACGTTCACTCGAAGCCGCGGGTGGCATTTCAGAAGTCCTCTTGTTCCCTGATGCGTCTCCACGCGGTGGGATTCGCGCACCACGACTGGTCTGCCTATCGGCATCCGGACGAGGTGGACGGCCGTATTATTCCTTCCGCGGCCTTTGCGTCGGGCTTGTCGTCGGGGGACTTCCCGGTTCTCCCCCTGGACGTCAGGGAGAGCTTCCCCTCGTTAGGGGTTCATCCCCTTCTGCCACCCGTCTTGAAGCACTTTGGCTTCGCATGTGCGGACTCTCAACACCCAGCCCACTCGCGACTCGCGTACAATTGTCAGCGTGAGTAGGCTTGGTCCGCGCCTTCATGGCGGAGGTACACGTTAACGCGCTAGTGTTCCTCCAACCGCTTCAAACCGTCGCCCATCTCGAGCGACTCGTGGC